ATGTGAGGGATGCATGGCCCATGGGGGAAGGACTGCTGCTTACAGAACTGAAGTGGAGTTTGATCTTAATTATTAAAATGAATATTTGACTACATACATTATACATGTCATTTTCCATGAATTTAAAGTTGTTTAGATGAAAGTTAAATTTTTTTTTGAACTTTTGTTAGGATGAGACGGTACTATAGCCGACTGACTTTAATTAGCAAATGAGGTGGTTTAGTCATGGAGGCTATGCAAATTTCAACTTTGGAATGATTCTCCGTAGCTTTCGTCTGTTGAAAAATAGAACAATTAAGCTGCCAACAAACTAAGGTCTAATCTCTTCACCCAGGCTTTGGTGTCCTTAGGGTGACTTAACTAGACATTGTATCCAGATATTAACAGCTCCTATTTGCTCAAACTACTACTAAGGATAGGATTTTTAATTTTTAAATTTTAAAATTTTTTTTTAATCCGGGAACCGCCCTATTTAATAGAAGAAATTTGCAAAATAGACCTATTTTTGTTAAATATTTAGCAAAACAGACCGTTTTGCTAAATATTTAGCAAAATAGACCTCTTTGGTCTGACCAAAAAGAGGTCGGTTTTGCAAAACAGACCATTCGAAACATACGTGACTAGTAGTCCCGTATGATTTAATGGGGAATTAATTCATACGGGACTATACTAGTCCCATATGTTTCGAATGGTCTGTTTAGCAAAATCGACCTCTTTTTGGCTTCTTCGTTAAAAGAGGTCTATGTTGCTAAATATTTAGCAAAACGGTCTGTTTTGCTAAATATTTAGCACAATAGGTCTATTTTGCAAATTTTTCCTATTTAATATCTTCCAAGAGAAGTTGGTCGCATCATGTACGGTCTAGATTTTCTCGAGTATCCAGAGAAAGAAAGGGGGGTATATTTATATCTACAAATGTAGTGAGCCAAATGTGGAGGATGACGGAGGTACTTAAGTCAAATGCTATCGTGGACTAACAATCCCCTATGAGGTCAGAGTGGACTTGGGGGTAGGCAGATAGCTTCATGAAAGCTTGTGCACAAGGGTGAGGCTATACGTTTCCATAAATGGCGTCCTCCCGCTGGATACTGATCTTGTCCGGTGTAAAAAAAAAAGTAGCTGATTGATCATTACTAAATCACAATCATTAATTATCTAGTAGATGATAATGAGTTTTTAGTGTAAATTAAAAACGAGTGCGATATACAGGATATAGATAATGATTTTTTAGTGTAAATTAGAAACGAGTGCTGTTATGGTATTCTCAGTCATCAAAATACAACTCCTCACCGAACAATGGGGGGTTGTATTTCCACATACAAGGCCCCAACTAGCTTGGTGGCCCAAGCCCAATAGAGGCCCAACTTGACCGAAGTCATTGTTTTTTATGGCGACTCGAGAGGCGGGATCAGTCAACCCTCTTGTCGAAGTCAACTCGCCTAGAACCTACTCGACCTTTTATACAATACCTTACAAGGACGACTGAATGGGCATTATTTCTCGGCCAAAGTGGAGGATAATATCTGCCTCGGGATCCCTCTGATTACGTGTCAACACTACGGTCAACATTGGTTAGGTCCCATCATGACCCTAGCCCAAATTGTCATCATGACTTATCATATCACCTGGGCTTTGCCATGCTGCCAGATCGTTCTCCATTCGATGCTAAGACGATCTCTCCAATGCTGAAGCGATCTCTCCCCCAGTCGCCAGCCGACAACTGTAAAGCGGGTGCTGACGCAGCCACCAGTCCATACCTTGTCATCACTTCTCTGTACTCGGCCAGAGTGCCAAGTCTATCATTCTCCCACCATATATATAGAGGTATTATTCACCTTTTACGAGGGCGATTTTCACATAACCCTAAGTTCTATTCCCGCTCAAGTTTATCAACTAACTTGATCGTCGGAGGTACAACGGGGGAGCCAAACCCCGTCCTCTCACGAGTTTCCACGTGTGCAGATTTATCAGCTCCCCAATTCAAAAACTAGACATAAAGTCAAAGAAGAAGACGATCTCCCCTCTACTTTATCGAACCGATCCTATCCTGGATCTAACTATCGATCTGTGTGATCATATCAACCATCAACAAGTGCGATACGCGTGATATAGTAAGTGTTAGACGTAGAATATATCACTAGATGTTTACTAAATAATTAATGATGGAGACTAAAAGAAGTGATTGTCTACTATATGATCTATATTTATTCCTGTCGTAGTTTATCTCCTTCAATTTTGAACCTTCTGACTAGGCATGCTCAAATGAGGCGCATCTCGCCGTCTACCCCTCAGAGTGTTGGGTCCCATCATTCGATGACGAATCGACGTGGAAGGGGGGCCGTGTGCGAGCGTTAGCTAGTACTTAGACATCGTGATATGCTCAGTCTGAAATTGGAGATAAGGGCCGAAGTAGTGGGCCCATGCTCTGAATAATTAGCGCACCACGTGCGAGCTCAGTGCTCGTTGATAGCTTCATGCATTCCATTAATCGATTGCTCCCTTGAACGAAGCGTGGCCTAAATGTCCTATTATTCCAATATCCATAATTATTGTGGGCCCCACTTCCCCTGCACAAGAGTAATAATACATTTCTTGTAGTATAGTTAGAGGTTGTTTGGTTCTTTAATTGCATCTAATTAATAATCCATATAATGGGTTCTGAAAAACCTATATTTTAAAATCTTTATTTGTTGGTGATGGATAACGGAGAGATTTTGTTTTGAGGGATAAAATGCAACTAAATTTTATTTGATTGCATATGAATTTTACTGAGGATACGTGACTAAACTCTCAAATACGATCAAGGCAGTATATATAATTTTAGTAAATTACATTTGATGCAACCATCTAATTATGTGACAATCCTAAATTTGTGGAATGATTATATGTCATCAAAATATAGGATTTTAAACTTGTAGGTCTCATTTTTTAATGCAAAACCCAGCAAAGTGTGGAAACAAGCGGCCACATAATGTTTCCCTTTTTTTTTTCTTTAAAGTTGGAGCCGTTCACATTGTTGTTCAACGTTATCACCTTTTTTTTGACCCTATATTTTGGTAACTCTTCAATCCAAAATACATGTAACTAAACAACCCGCATGCATGCTGGGAGGCAGCCAACGTGGCGTTACCTAGCCCCGATGCCTTCGTGCGAACTGCAAAGTGTGCCTTACAAAATGCCACTTAGCGTCTCAGTCCGATTAGTCCCGATCCTCGCTCATTGGCCTACGACTCACTAGAACTTATGAGAGATTAATTGAATAAAAATAATTCCTGGCTTGCCAACGGCAAGCCTTGAATACAGGACTTTTTGAATCATCAAAACTTTTAACTTTCTACTACGCTATTAAGGATTTCTAAAAAATACTAATAGTTAATAAATACATAGTTTGAAAACTCATTTTTGAAAAGCGATTTTAACCAAAAAAATCTAACATCATGCTGTCAACTAGTAAAATCGATGGTGTCCACAACTTGATTGTTTCTATGCAGATGAATACTCTAGAAGGCCTAAAATCGGTGTGAATAAATAAAAAAGGGAAGGGAAGGGAAGGGAGGGGGGTTTCAGAAAAAAGAATGATACTGTAGCTATATACAGGAGTAAACCCAATAGTTTTAGGAGATAAATATCTAGAGCGAAGAAGTCTAGTGAAGACTAGATTACTATTTCTAAACTACTTTAAGTGGCCTATTCTCATCAATTTTATCTTTAGAATTAATTACTTATCAATGTGGCTCACATATTTCTTTCTTGTAGTATAATCTATGAGAGAGTAATTCTTGAAGAAAAGTTTGTTTAGCACTACTTAACGAAGTAAATAACAGAGCATAAATTTCGTGATGGAAGTGCAACAAGGCGACCGCGCCTTGACATCAAAAATTTGAACTTGTTTGGTAATTTGGGTTATAATCCGCAAATAGCTTATAAGTCAAGCAGACATAATCCAAAGTGTTTCGTAAATTTAGTGGATTATAATTTTTTTCCTACAGTAGAGTGTCTAAAAATGAGTATCTTATAATCCATCTTTGTTTTCAAAATGCTAAAACAAGGTTGACCATATTGAAAAAGAAATTTGGAAATTTCTCAAGTGCTAAGGGGGTGTAGTGCTTTTTTACTTGGTCAAACTACTTGGCTTATAAGCCACCAAAGACTAAGCTAGTCTACCCCGACTTATTATTATTATTATTATTTGGATTTATAAGACAAAATATTGCCAAACATGTCAGAATGGATTATAAGTTAGAAGCCTCTTTGTCAAGTCGCCAAGCAGGCTCTTTATGATAAAACTACATAGATATGATAGGTAGAGACATTTGCAGGTAATGGGCTAAAAACTTAGGCCCTTCAATGAGATCCAACCAAAAGATAAAATGGGCCTGATCCTACCTAAAGCCGCGCACTCTTTTGTTTTTAATAGTAGGCCTGGCCTATTAAAATTTTGTAATAAGCGATCACTGACACCTTGAATTGTTGAATGGCCTATTACTTTTTTTTTTGAAATTATATATATAAAGCATGTTAATCTATCCTTTTAATAAAAAAGAAGGGAACCACATATAAATATCATGGTAACGTGATTTTCTTCTTCTTTTGGTTCTTGAAATGCTTTAAAATAGGGAAAAATTCTCCAAGGACCCAAAATATGTGATCAACATGAGGGATATTTGAGGTGTTCCCCTCCTATTGCATAATGAGTTGGCTACCTTATGCAATAGGAGGAGAACACCTCATATGTCCTATCTGTTGATCCCATATTTTGGACCATTGTAGCAAAGCTCGTTTGAACTGATCCTAGATATGTCGCTTCTATTGATCCTATATTTTGGACCACGGTAGCAAAGCTCGTGTGAACTGATCCTAGATGCGACCCAGTGATGCCCCAAATCTGATTGGGCCGCATGCTCCAGTCGTGGGCCCCCTCTCCCTCGACTCAACTGGATGTCGTTACGTGTCATCACACCATCTCGCGGAACCAAACCTATTTATATTCTTCGTTTAATTACAGCTCTCTCGTCCGCTGCTCGCTCTCTCCTCTCTCTCTCTCTCTCGTCGTCGAACTCAAAACCCTAGAATCCCCAACGATCGCGTCCCCGATCTTTCTAAATCTCGAGTAAGCTTCCATTTTGACGCCGGAGAGAGATTCTTCTGGTGTTTCTCTCTCAAAGGAGCTACGGATCCCTGGAAATGTCGAGCAGTGTCTCCACCGTCTACATCCAAGTCATCGATGACGTCGTCGGAAAGGTACGAGACGAGTTCATAAACTCCGGCGCCGGGGAGGCTGTTCTCAGCGAGCTCCAAGCGGTAATTTTTCATTAACCTTTTCTCCTAGGAGTGTTGGGTTTTAGGGCTTGTTAGTGTTTTTTTTTTTTGGGAAAGTTTTGATTTTACATTGAGCGGTTAATACATCCGATGGGGGATTAATTGGAATTGTGTTTTAGAAAGTTTGGCTTGTTATTCTTGTTGAATTGTCGTTTTTCTGGAAACTAAGCTAAAAAGGTTCTATTTTCAGCTAATAAGTTTGTAATGGAGCTATTGAAATAGCTTGTTTATGTATTTACTTTTGGAAGCTGACGTAGTTGAAGGGTGTTCACTGTTCTAAATGAGGTTTGATGAATTTTTCAATATGATTAGAGGATCTATTTGTGCAAATTGAATGAGTGATTCTTCTAAAATTTTTAGATTTTTCTAGTTTGAGACCATTTTGATGTTGGGATCTAGGAGTTGGATTACTTATGAATGATTTTTTCTCAAGAATATTGTTTTTTGTGTTTTTTAATAAATTATCGACTGTCGATGTCTTGTATTTTAGTTATGGGAGATGAAGATGCTGCAATATGGGGCAATATCAGGCAATATAGAAAGACCTTCTGTTCCCAAGCAAGTTGCACCTGGACAAGTCACCCCAGTTCATGATTTAAATGTTCCATATGAAGGCCCCATCGAGGAGTATGAGACTCCAACAGCCGATATGCTGTTTCCACCGGTGAGCTCCATTTTTTAGGGAAATGTCCTTTGTAGTTGAATCATCCGTAAACTGTAGCTGCGTACTTATTTCTTTACATTGGTTGCAGACTCCATTGCAGACCCCAACTCCCACTCCATTGCCTGGAACAGGTGATGGAATGTATAACATCCCTACAGGTCCATCAGATTACGCCCCGAGCCCACTCAGTGATGTCAGGAATGGCACCGATGTAAAAAGTGGGAGAAATAGTCCTTACATGGTATAATTTGTTACTCTTTATGTCATAGTTGTGTTTTGAGAGCAGTACATTTTTAATGAGAATTTGGATGAACCAATTTGTGTAATTTGAATTGGGTGCATGCCTGAATGGTAGACAGTGTTTGTAAAACTGGGTTGTTTTTACCTTGTCCTTTGTTATACAGCAATCGCCTTCACCGTGGATGAGTCATCGACCCTTGGGTGTGGATGTTAATGTTGGTATGTGAAGCGAAAGTTATGGTTTTTAACTTTTAAGGCTGCTATTTGTGAAGCATTGCTTGACTTTCTTTGTTCTTTTGTTTTTTAGCTTATGACGAAGGTCGTGCTGAGGTGGATAGAGGAGCTCCTCATCAGTCGATGACTCAGGTATAATACTTATTTGAACTATTGGATCTCTGTTTTAATATTTTTATGCTTTCTTTCTTTGTTACATATTAATCTTTTTGTACCTAAGATTGCAGCAACACAACTCCAAACCTTTACCACTTTAGATAGGCCTCAGGATTTATATAGAAAACTGTTTGGATGATCCTTATTTGTTAACCAGGGATTCAACTGTAAGATCAAGTAAAATAGTTAAGTGTTTTCAGTCATTTAGTTTTAATTTCTATGATGTATTTCAAATCATCATTAGAAAATTAGATCCTACTGTTAAATTTCTGAAGTGGCATTATTTTCTTTTCTTGATGCACTGTATGCCAGTTTCTTGTAATTTGGAACTATATTGTCATATGATAAGAAACATTTTAAGTAAAGCATGCAATGGTTCTGACGTGTTTTATGTCTAGGATTTTTTCACTGCTCAAGGGAAGCGCAAACGAGATGCTTATGCTCCTCCTGTAACATCTGGCAGCCAGATGCCACAGCAAGATGGAAGTGGAGATGTGAGAATTGAATTTTTACTTCCTGAGGTGCTTAATTTGAACATATGCTTTTCAATTTAAAAAAAAAAAATCTTTAACTTATGCTTTCTGCATCTGTACATCCCTCCCACTCTTAAAATTTATGTTGTATGTCACTGTCTACTTATGTTAGTGCATGTTTGTAATATTGTTTTTTGTTTACATTCGTGCAAGATGTCATTACACAATCCTCTTGTTTACATTCGTGCAAGATGCCATTACATTCGTGCAAGATGCCATTTCCCTTAACTATGAGATTGCCATTTCCCTTAACTATGAGATTGCCATTATAAACTTCTTGAAGAAAATTTGATTATCCATAGGCCTTATTCTGGTGTCATCAGTGGATAAATAAATAGAATCACCACCATCAATATCGGATGTCTGATACATACTGCATAAATTTCTCTTACCTATGTAGACTTCTCACATCCTCACTCCCCCCCTCATTTCCTTCCTGTGATAGGCATTCGTGCTGTAATAGTAATATCGAAAATCCAGCTCCTTAGTTTTGCAATAATCAAACTTAGTGTATGTTAGTTAAATGATGTTGAAGTTAGCCCCTCCATCCTGACTTCCAAATTTGCTATAAGCTGTAAACTGTCTTTTGTTCTCTTGGTGACAAAGTCCATGGCTAGACTATAACCTCTTTTAGGTATAGTCAAGGTTTTAAATATCAGATATTGGGGAAATATCGGATGGCTAAAATTATGGCTAAAATTCATATCGGATTACAAATATTGAGGAAATGTTGAGGATATGTAGTAAATATCGGAATGCTATAACAGATGTTTGCATATATAGTGTAATGCACTAAAATGTAATCTCAACATGCTTAATGAAATATAAGCATACAAAATGTAAACAATATATGTTTAGGATAATTATCAACCTTGTAAAACAAACAAAAGTACAAATTAACGTTGCAACATTTCTGTTTTTTTAGGCCATAATGTCATTTGATATAATGGGAAAGTCATAATTTCTCGCCCAAAAATTGCCAAATGCGGTGTATTGTTTTGTGACAAGCCTAAAATAGCCAGGGGGATATATCGCCCAAAATAGCCAAAAAACGGTAAAGGATATTTAGAGACCATATCGGCTGCGGCAACTGGCAAGCCCTGTAAAAGGGTATATCAGGCCATGTCGGGATATTTAAAACAATGGGTATAGTTTCATTTATAACCATTTCACCTGAACTTGGCCTCTGCTTTTCCTTTATTAATTTTGAGCTATCTCCAGAGACACACTAGCACTCACAGAGGATGTGTAATTTTAGTTTGAGCTATTTCAGCTAAAGTTGGCATCTATCATTTCTTGTTCTGTAAGTACAGACATTTGAAAAAGTGCTGGTAATATGTCAAAATTGTCATGCTACATGATTCACTTCTGAAAGCTGACGAGATAGCAGATACAGTAGCTTCTACCTTTTGTTTTTAAGCAGAGAATTTCATGTAATAAAGGAACATGTTTTTCAAGTATTTCCATTGGGTTCATAAATGCCTAACATAGGTGTGATGAATGTTATAAATCAATTTTCATGGTTGCTGATGGAGAAAGATGTCTTGTTTAGTTTGCTGGACATTGGTATGAAGTATAAGATGTGTTGCGATGCTACATGAATATTTATTTACAAAATTGACTTGACTAGCAATAAATTTAAAAGAATGCAATATATATTTCCCTATTGTCTACTCCACAAGGTAGCTTGGAAAGAGAATTATTAGATGTAGGTTGGCTGGGTACTTGCTTTTTGAGATTGGCTTACAACCTACCAAAATTTATGGCGAATTAGTTTATGCAGCTCATATTACTACTTTCCATCTATAATTTTTGTTGGCATTAAATGACTCCTAGAGGAGCTCATCTAGAATTTTCTGAAGAGCCCATCTGAAAGTAAAAGCATTGTATGATGACTAAAAGGAATCTTACTATTATAATGTTGTCCTCTGAGACTTATGATTCTATTTTTGGTTTCAGGGAAGCCAGTTCAAAAATTTATCAGCTCGTTTTAGCAAAGATGCTGTACTAAATGAGACACTCTGCAAAGAAGCAAGAGCGAGTTTATTGCTTCCTCAACAGGATGGAAATCAGGATGAATATGACGAGGTATTTGACCAACACTAACAATCTTATGTTTACGGTCTTTTTCTTATATTACTTATTGTACATGGATTTTCTCTCTTTGAAGTTGTTCCCTTTCCAAGGAGTTGCCAGTGAAGACTACAATAGCAACACACCGGCCGACCATGGTAATTTTTTGATCAACTTGCCTGTCGAAAATTGACTTTTACATTTTAGTAAATACTGTTTTGGAGGTTTACTAACATGCTGAATCTTTGGGTTTTCCTCCATTGTCCTCGTAGAACTAAGAGCTCCAACCCCCTCTGTTGGCACACCAAAGCCATCCAAAGGTGAAGCTGCCGATGATGATGAACCTCCCCTAAATGAAGATGACGACGACGACGAGGACCTAGATGATCTCGAGCAAGGCGAGGAAGAACCACAGATACAACATTTAGTTTTAGCACAGTTTGACAAGGTAATTTCTGTCTTCTTCACAAGGGATGTCATTTTAATATAAGGTGTTCCGTATATCTTACTGATACCCTCAAATCTTAATGGTAACAGGTGTCAAGAACAAAAAACAGATGGAAATGTACCCTCAAGGATGGGATAATGCATCTGAACAGCCGTGATGTCCTTTTCAATAAGGTATGCTTATGGTTGTGATCTATGAATCAGTGACTTTTTCTTGAAAATTAGATGAGCATGCCTATGTATATGTATTCTCTTAACAATTTGTAGAAAAATTCTTTCTAGAAAACACAGAACACAAACACATACACACACGCACAGACATTGTAAGAAAAAAAAATGTTCCTTGCACAAATACATTTCTAACCTATCGTTTTCGGCTATCCTTTTGTTTTAGTTAGGGGCTGAGGAAACTAATCCCAAAACGATCATACCTTACGTCTGTACACATCTGTTTGGTTTGAAATCGGTACTACTGCAGCTAATATTGCAGTTGTGTTTCTATTTTCATTTGATATGCAGCAGGGTTAAAGAAATGATAAGTAAAGTGGCAAAAGCTAGCAAAACACTGAACCGATTGTTATAATGTTTTTACGAAAGAAAATAATGGATTCCATCTCAAATTAAAAGTGTACCTGGACTAGGACAGCACTCGGGCATCTGAACTTTTCGTCATGTGGCAGTTTCTCCCTCACGACCATCATTTCTTATGTAGTCTTCTTGCGGAATATGTTTATAGTTTACACATCTCTTGATATTCAACTCTGTGATGATCTCCCTTCAAAAGCTTTGATTGGCTTATCCCATAAACAGAGGCTTTAAAATGCGTATGTTCAGGTCATGCTCTTATGGTGGAACTAATCTGGCAACATTTGTTGCAGGCTAATGGGGAGTTCGAATTCTAATTTTTCTATGAAGCAGCCGTCTTCTTAGATAGTGAAGTGATGTTCGACAGGCTGCTGCTTGTCGGAGTAGATTTTACTGCTCTGAGTTGGGGAGCAGAGGTGTTGCTACCTCGGACATGTTGTACAAAGCAAATTTTAATTATCAATTGGATGGCCTGAGGCAGGAATTTTCCCCTTGTAACATTTTAGGCGAGGTATCAGATGCGCCTATTTCAGTAGTACGTGTGTTTAGGCAATGTTGTATTTCTCAACAACCCTTAGGCTGCTTTGTTATACTTGTAATATTATGCTTTCTCAGTTGGAGCAGTACTTAAATATTTCCTGTTCTATATCTTTTGTTGCGGGCAATTGCTTTACTGTTTTATTAAATATTTCCTGTCTCTTTTGATTCCTCATGCCAAAATAAATTTGTTTTTGAGAATAATCCAGTAGTTTGAAATAGAGTTGCAACAGTAAAAGGATCTTCCCCTACTCAGTAATCATCTGGAGGGGAAACCACGGGAGGGACAAACGAGGGAACAAACCTACACTACAGAGGAAGCGTCTTTGTGCACGATGTTGCACCTCGGCTGAAGCTGCAGCGCAGGATGCTGCCATCCCGTGCCCGACTGCGTCTCTTTCGCCGTCGAAACCCTATAGCTCTCTTCTACATCAGGCAACGGTTTAGGCTCAACGGTTGACGGCGTCAACAAAGGTATCGTGGCTTTGGTACCGGTGGCTGATAATGGCGAGAGCAACGGTATCGGAACGTGCGAGCAAGGCCCATTCTCCAACGCGAACGTCCGGTTCGTCTTGGGATTGAGGGCCAAGGATGAAGGAGCCCGGCTCTGTAGCCTTCTCGTCGGAGATTTCTCGGCCTCCTGGTGTTCATCTCTCACAATTTTGCTGTCCATTGCTACAACTGTTGCGGAGAAAACCTGGAGAGAAATTATAACATATAATAGAAGAAAACTTTTGGTTAGTCCCGTGTCTTGCGCGTGAAGTCAGCTAGATATGTGGCATTAAAATGAGAGGTTGAGAAGTGGAAGCAACCGTTTGAGCTTTGAATGGATGAACGTAAGCGTTTTCCTATAAATGTCGGAAGCAAATAAAAGAGACGGTGGTCTTTGATTATTGGCAAGCAAATTTTGACATTTTTGCATCGGCAAAAGCTTAGTAGGTGAGGATGCATTTTGTACATAGATATCGGTGTCGAACTATGATGCTATCCTTTAGAACCTGTGCGTTCCCTGAATACCGATCTCCATTATAAGTTACTTAACTATTATCTAATACTATCGGCAGGTGACTCTGGCAATCAGTCGAAAACTGGGTCGGGTTTAACCCTGGTCCAGTTTTACTCTGAACTAGTTTGGAGGTAAGCCAATGGGGGTGGTGCTCCAACACAAAACTGGTCTTATGGTCTCTTTTTGGCCTAAGAAGAATCGAGTCCGAGCTGGCTAGTCTGTGCTCATGAAAAATAAACTCAAAACTAGATCAGATTCAGTCTTGACCCAATTTCAACAGTTTTACCAAAAACTCCCTATTGATGGGAAGTGGGCCTTAGTGGCTGTGTACAGTCGATCACCGTTAATGCAAACCTCCCCCTAAACAACATGCACGCTTCGGCACAGCCCAACCGGAAGCCCAATCCAGTGGTGTGGGCTTCATTAAATTTCAGCACAACGCAATCCTGCATATCTGACCGTCCATTGAAATCACTTCAACCGTAGATGATAGCGTACGGCGCACGCAAAGTGGGCGGAAGGGCAGGAGCAAAATTTCGTGGTGTCCTTGCTCGCACGTTTCAGAGAGGCAGGTTGCGATTGTTGAGTGCCTGCGGGCAAAGCACGCCCAAGATTTCTTGTTGGCCACGCCTATTGAGGGATTAGGGCAGCGTATGACTCCGGGGGAGTACCGGGCCATCCTCAGGTACAGATTGTTGGTTCCTTTGTTCGTGGAGGGGACAATGTGCCCAGTTTGTCGTAGAACGCAGATGGATGCTTTTGGAGAGCATGCCATCCACTGTCAGAAGCAGCCGGGGTTCAAGTACAGGCATGACTTAGTCAGAGATGTCTTGTATGATATCCTCCAAAGAGCAGGGATCCCATCAAAGAAGGAAGCGCCGGTTAACTTTCTCACTCCTCCTGGAGAGGCTAGATCTACCCTAAGGCCGGCAGACATTCTTGTCTACAATTGGAGCGGGGGGAAGCACGCTTGTGTTGATCTCACAGGGGTGTCTCCGCTGGTGGGGTTTGGTAATGGAGAATTCAAGGTTGGGTATGCAGCGGATAGAGCAGCAGAGGCAAAGGTGGGCAAACATGATCAAGCTTGCAAGGACAACCATCACAACTTCATCCCGTTCGCTTTCGATACGTTTGGTTTCCTTGCAGCTGATGCGGCGGAGTTCCTCAGGAGGGTACAAAAATTCATGAATAAGAATGTGGCGACAGCAGGGTCCGCTGAGTACGTGTTTCGTAGGTTGGGTTTTGCAATTCAGAAAGGATTAGCGGCGCAGCTTGTTGCCCGCTTGTCATCATCACTTGTGTAATATTTTTTTATTTATTTATTATATATCTCATACCAAAAAAAAAAAAAAAAAAAAAAAAAATAAAAATAAAAATAAAAGTCATGGTGTCAGCTTCGATTATTGTAGAAGCTTCAGCAAATAAAGTCATTGTTTGGTAGGATAAGAATTTTTTTTTGGTTCAATACGTGGCTCAAGCAGAAGCCAGAGAACCGAAGCCCTCTGGATTGCTGGGTAGAGTTCTCCATCAACGTGGCTCTTTCAATCAATGTTTGTTATAATTCTATAGGTTGATTCCAGGATAATGTGTTTCTTTGCTTCCACATAAATGTGAATGATTGAAATATCCTTTGTTGTTATGAATTAGGATTTGAATTGGTTGTGTTTTTCACTTAACTGAATTTAAACACAATATTTCGCTAGTTAAATATCTAAGGGTAGTTAATTGCGGATAGCCCCCCAGCCTGTAGTTCTATTTGTTAGCTCTTTTATTCTCAGAGAAAAGAGAACATTTGTTTTTGACGTACAAAAAGACCTCTGAAGGTAAACGAGTCTAGAAATGGATTCACTCAGGGGTCTATCCACAATCCACTGGGAGTACAGAGGATCTATTTGAAATTAGCCCTATATTCAAATACCTTTAATGTGCCTGTCGCCCAGTTAGGAGATGATTAAATGGTTGAATATAAGGGGATCCGGATTCTCTCCTAATGAGAGGGTTCCTAATATCTCCTAATGAGATCTTGACCTTTGATTTATCAATCAAAGACCAAGATCTCCTCATGCAAAAAAATAGGGGGGAGATAAGGATAAGATCTTGGCCTTTGATTGATAAATCAAAGGCCAAGATCTTCTTATTAGGAGATATTAGGAGAGGATTCATTAGGAGAGGATCTCAATTCAATATAAGGGGGTGTTTGGTTCAATTTCTAGAAATTATAGGAAATATTTTCCACCTAAAATATGATTTTCTTATATTTCTTAAAAAAATTATAGTAAAAGTTTTGAGAAATCAAAAAGTACCAATTTTCTTGTTTTTTGTACTTTGCTTGTTTGGTTCAAAACAAGAAAATAGCTCATAACTTTATAGAAAATAACAAGATTTGGTAGGTTTTTAATTAAATATGGTATGTGTCAGATTTCTGGTGATTTCCTCTCATTTTGAGAGGAAATTGCTTTTTGTAAAATTTGGTAGGTTTTGATATTTTATAGAAAATATTTCTGTAAATTTTTTGTTGAACCAAACACAATTTACAGAAATCTCTGGAAAACTTTTAATTACAAATTTACCATTGTCAGATGTTTTGAGAAAAGTTTTACAAATTTACCATTGTCAGATGTTTTGAGAAAAGTTTTCTCAAAAAATGTGCAACCAAACAGCCCCTAAGTTTGGACCTAGGACTTCAGATTTGAGAGTTTTTTTTTCCTTTGGATCTAGTTAAGGGTGTTGGGAATTTTTTACTATTGGATTTGTTACTTATAACCTCCTGAAATATATTTCTTTTATCATGCAAATCTGATTCAGTGAATATTTTTATCATGCAAATGATATAATTCTGTGAATGTGACAAAAACCCAATTTAGATCAGTTGCCATGCATATGTGATAGTAGTAATCATGGTTATTTTGCCTAAAGTGTTCTAAATAAACTATTAAGTATACGTGGTGTAAAAGGAAAATTTCTGACAAATGATAGGAATTGGAATGACAGGTAGACTGGATCAATCAATATTTACGTTTCTAAAAGAAAACTTTCTTTGACTTGTACTTGAGTTTCTCCTCAACGAAGTGCGAATGTCTAGCTTTCAAGGTTTTTTTTTTTGTGATTGTTTTCTCCATGAAATGCTCATATATATGTTTGCAAAATAGATGCTTATGTTTAATGAGTATGTCTTTTCCTAATAATATTTAGAGAAAAAGATTAGAAAATCATTATTCAGGTGTTGGTTTTGAGTTTCAATGGTTTCTTGCATCTTGAATCCATGTCCTTGTTCACTAATTATTCTTATATATAGGTCATGAATGCGGTTATCGAGTAAAAGATTCTATTAGAGCAGTGCATAGAAAGGCTGGCCTATACCATACGAGGGTACTTAGGCACTGTTTGGCAACGAAAAAAAGTGTCTTATCTAAGAGCTTGTGTCTTATTGACTTGGTCAATAAGCTAGTAGAGCTGTTTGTTGACCAAAAATAGGAGGAGATTATTTTGAAGATTGTGTCTTTTGCAAGTAGCTTTTGGAAAGCTACCTCAAGTAGCGTTTGTCTTTGGGAAGGAGCTGTCAATTTTTTTCTTCCGTTTTTGCCCCTAATAATTCTAATTTTATATCAATAATATTGTATGTCTTTTTTAGTCATTTAACAAATTTAAGCTAATTGTACAGCTACTTTTGCCAAACAGCTCTAGTCAATCAGCTAGCTACACAGCTAACAGCTTTCAGCTATAATTTTACAGCTTTCAGCTAGCTTAACAGCTTTCAGCTATAATCTCGCAGCTTTCAGCTAGTTTTGCCAAACAGAGCCTTAGAGGGTTGGACAAATTTTCAAAACCACCCTATTTCCAGATTTAATCCCCAAAAAAGATCTATTTTGAACTTATTTGTAAAAACCGACCTGGTTTTAGCCTTGGCGTTGAAACCAGGTCGGTTTTTGTGAAAAAGCTTCTGAAACTTCACGAGAGTTGAACTCTCGTGAAGTTTAGTAAAGCTGCTAAACTTCACGGGAGTTCAACTCTCGTGAAGTTTCATAGTTCAATTTTTTTTGAACTACGAAATTTCACGGGAGTTGAACTCTCGTGAAGTTTAGCAGATTTACTAAACTTCACGGTTGGGAATTTTTTTTACAAAAACCGACCCGGTTTCAGCGCCAGAGCTGAAACCGGGTCGGTTTTTGAAAATAAGTTCAAAACAGGTCTTTTTTGGGATTAAACCTGGAAATATGTTGGTTTTGAAAATTCGTCCTTAGAGGGTTAGTTTGAGAATTATAACTATTTCATCTGTACGGTGTAGCTCACCCCGACTCGTGTATAACGAAAATCATGGTTTTAGATTTCTGATCACATCAACATGAACCCGGAAGCATCAGAAACAATTATTGTCATTTTACCATTAATAATTAATTAAAAATCATGTCACACGGTTATTTTTCTTTCTAAATTTCCTCCAACCTTGTATAATTTAACTGGCGCTGAAGAACCGCGGAATCTGAGCCATTCATCCCCATCCCTGAGCTTTCCGCCTACCGGAACACTAACTTGTACCCAATCATCTATCTAAAAACCCAAATAGTAGTCCAGGATTGATCCACGTGGCACCCAGCCTGATCCTGAACGGGTGGCCTCCAGGGGTTTTCGCAGGCCGACCACAGGTTCCCCAGCAACACAGGAGCCGGTGTGAGCTCTTTTCGCTGCCACACTTCAGACCGAGAGCTCTCCTTATATAATCCTACCATCATTAAGCCCCTCTCATTTGCAGCAGCTCAGGCGTTTCCTCCACCGCGTCACCCTCCTCATCGATCTTCTTCCTCCTCCTCCGATCTCCGTCCACCGCAGATGGCCACCGCCGTGTCGACTGTCGGGGCCGTCAACAGAGTGCCGGTATTGTTTCGATCCTTAATTTTTAGTCGTTTACTTAGTAATGGAGGAGGCTAGAGACATGTATAGATCCCCGCGTCGGAACTAACTCCGTTGGTTGGAAGCAGTTAAGAAGGATACGACAGCTATTATTAATTAATTAATGTAACTGAATGGAAGTAGTAGTACATGTGTATCCATGTACCCGTTGGGATATATAAAAGGCCTTGCTATATATTGTCGTCTTAATTTGATTCGTTTGTGAACTATTTTAATATTTGTTCTGAGTTTTCATGTTGTACGTCGACGGTGCAGCTGATCAACGGTTCGAGCCCAGGAGCCGCGGTCCCAACCTCGGCGTTCTTCGGGAGCAGCCTGAAGAAGGTGAATGTGAGCATCCACGGGAGAGCGGCCGCCTCGGCGCCGGGGAGCTTCAGGGTCGTGGCCGCCGACCTCGACGAGTCGAAGCAGACCGCCCAGGACCGGTGGGGTGGGCTGGTGACCGATATCTCCGACGACCAGCAGGACATCACGAGAGGGAAGGGGACGGTTGACCCCCTCTTCCAGGCCCCCACGGGCGACGGGACTCATGAGGCCGTCATGAGCTCTTACGAGTACCTCAGCCAAGGCCTTCGCGAGTAAGCCAAAGAGATATCATGCGTGAAATCAGTTTATTTCCTGTATTATTACTATTAAAAGAAAAATTAAGCCTCTCCCTTATGCATCCTGCGTGATTTTAATTGACGTGGAGTGGGTTTATGATTATTTCTAAGGTACGGCATGGACAACACGTTGGATGGCTTGTACATCGCTCCTGCTTTCATGGACAAGCTTGTTGTTCACATCACCAAGAACTTCATGAACTTGCCTAACATCAAGGTATTTTCACCAACAGATTCCCCTTATTTATTCATTTATCTATGGATATGTTCGTTGATGACCAAATTATATTGTGCATTTCCACCAACAGATTCCCCTTATTTTGGGTGTTTGGGGAGGCAAAGGTCAGGGAAAATCTTTCCAGTGTGAGCTCGTCTTCCGTAAGATGGGAATCAAGTGAGTTCTCTATCTTGGATGAGTTCTTAATTAATTTGTTTATGATGGTAGTTCTTGTTGTTTCGCTCTTCCACCCTCAAGAATTAGGAATGCTGTAAGGCCTACAATGTGTTATATATGATGCGTAAGGATTAGGCAACTAAGAAACAACATGTGCAAAAAAAAAAAAAAAAAAAAAAAAAAAAAAAATGAAAAAAAAAAAAAAAAAAAAAAAAAAAAAACGAGTACAACAGAAATGAGAATGTTATGATTGACGAGTGGATATCCGCGGCGTAGGACAGAAAATGAGTGCATTTGTAGAGATTAGAGGCTGCTTCTTTAATTTGAGGGTATATGAGATGATCGTTTGATACGGTTAATTGATCATGTGCAATGACAGGTCAATAAATGCACCGATTAGAACAAGTTTGCTAAGATCATGATTAATGTAGAAAAGAGGACTAGAGGTAGGCCTATGAGCACTTGCTTCTAAGAAGTATATACATGATGATGAGCAATGAGTTTTAAGAAGTATATGGTTATAGTTAATGGGTTAGCAAAACTGATGATTAATTTAGTGGAGGAAAAATCTTTCACGGGACTAAATGGAAAAATAAGACTTATGTAGCTGACCCCCAACAATTTGGGATAAATGCTTTTTTATTGTTGTCGTCTTCATCTCAAGCTTCTCCGGCATCGATCCATATTTGTATCAGAACCCTCGTGATTGATTGCACCTGCACCTTTTCCCCTTTTACACCCAACTTTTCATGCTCAATGAAACCATTCACACAAGGTAAAAGCAAGCTCATAACATGGAATGTTTCCAACTAAAAGACCCAGTACGAAGATACTGACCTTTAAACTGTTTCCAGCCCTATCATGATGAGCGCTGGAGAACTTGAGAGTGGGAATGCAGGAGAACCTGCAAAGCTTATCAGGCAAAGATACCGTGAGGCGGCGGATATCATCGCCAAGGGCAAAATGTGCTGCCTCTTCATCAATGATCTTGATGCAGGAGCAGGAAGAATGGGAGGCACCACCCAGTACACTGTAAACAACCAGATGGTTAATGCCACCCTCATGAACATTGCCGATAACCCAACCAACGTCCAGCTCCCCGGGATGTACAACAAACAGGAGAATGCCCGCGTCCCGATTATTGTTACAGGAAACGATTTCTCCACTCTCTACGCTCCTCTCATCCGTGATGGGCGTATGGAGAAGTTCTACTGGGCTCCGACAAGGGAGGACAGGATTGGTGTCTGCAAAGGTATCTTTAGGGCTGACAATGTTCCTGACGAAGACATTGTCAAACTGGTCGATACATTCCCAGGACAATCTATTGGTGAGCCCATATAACACATGATTTATTTTAAAACGCTTGTTATATACTTTTTGGACGTACCATTTCTTGAACTTCAGCTATACTTGTTTATTTATATTGAATGTTCGAAGTATCTATTTAGTTTCACGATACGTCAATGACCACATTGGAAACACTTTCTTTCACAAAATCAGAAAAATGTACGTAGATTAAAAAAAACAGTACGTATGCAACATTATATATATGTTTTGTATAATTAAAAATAATTGCTTAGACTCTTGAACACATGATAATCAGAACGTATGTATATAAGCTCGCTCTTTACCGTCATAAATACAGTGGGGGCGGAACCCAACAGCCCCGTCACCAATGTATATTACGCTTCTGATGATCTGACATTGTATACTCTGCCTGTAGATTTCTTCGGTGCCCTCAGGGCTAGGGTTTACGATGACGAAGTTAGGAAATGGGTTTCTGACATTGGAGTTGAAAAGGTCGGGAAGAGGCTTGTTAACTCACTTGAAGGCCCACCCACCTTCGAACAGCCTAAAATGACCGTGGAGAAGCTGTTGCAGTACGGTAACATGCTGGTCATGGAACAGGAGAATGTGAAGAGGGTGCAGCTTGCTGACAAGTACTTGGCTGAGTCTTCACTTGGAGAGGCCAATGAAGATGCAATTAAGACTGGGAATTTCTACGGTTAGCACTTCACTTTGAGGTTTGCCTCTGAAATCTGTTAGATTTAAGATACTGATGAATACAGGGCAAGCAGTTTGAAATTTCGTCAATATATTTGAATGCAGGGCAAGCAGCTCAGCATGTTAGAATTACTGTTCCTGAAGGTTGTACTGATCCATCTGCTGCAAACTATGATCCGACGGCCAGGAGCGATGATGGAAGCTGCGCATACAAGTTCTAAGGCTGTTGTCTAGTGTTATAGTTAGGTTGAGGGCGAGGGAGGTATATTTTTCTGTTGCAAGGGGGGGATTTCTATATGCATCTGCTTGTGTCTGAACCTTGAATTGTTTCCTTTTTCTTTTATATTCTCTATCTGTCATGAATTGTGGACTCTATTAAACATGTTTGTGTCAAATAAACATAGTTATTGAGGCCTTGTCTACACATTTTGGAGAAGAATGTTTGATTTTTTTAATCCTCACTGCGTCCGATATAGCACCGAATAAAAGAACAAGATTTATGTAGTCGACCCCAAAAATTTGGGACGAAGGTTTTGTTATTGTTGAGGTAATGATAGGGATTATCATTACAAAATACTATCAAGATTTCTTCATGAGAAATAACTTGGCGATAACCCAAAATCTTGTTTAAAAATTCAGTGAATCTAATGTAATAACATGTTATCTACTTAAATCTTAAGAAGACGTGGAGTATAGATATAATGAGCATATGCTCCTGCACAATGGACAGACAATCAAAAGATAACTATCAAGTACATGAAATTGTTAAACATCATTATTCTTGATGTCTGATATCGAACAGTCAAATGAAAAGAGTGATTAAGTTAACGGAGGTCCTCTAACCCTCCGAATGTCTGGTTCTGGAGTAAGATGTTCTTCCCTGCACAAGCAACAAATCATAAGAGGGCGGAGTTGAGTTCCCCGGTTGTTCCTCCGACGATCAAGTCAGTGATTTGCTTGAGTAGAGAAGTGAAATGAATTGCAGTAGTTCTTAAGCATAGTGGATAGATGTAAAGATCTTACCTTATTATTGAAAATAGTATCCCTATTTATAGTGACGGTAGAAGGGTAGAATGATAACTTTGGCTAAGTATGGGATGACGGTCACGTCAGCCTCTGCTTTACAAGTGTCGGTCGACGAGTGGAGGAGAGCTCACCTCGGTATTAAATACGACGTGCTTAGGGGTGTGCGGTGTCGAGGTGGACCGATGTGTCATAAAGACTATTGGGGGCAGAGGAATGACGACGCCCATTATATATTTAATGGCATTTATTGCGAGGTGATTGGTTGCCAGTGCACGAGAGGGGGCTCGAGGCTCAAGGCATTTCGTCGTCTTTCTACTCGTCCGGTGGTTGAGAAGTACCGCCTTTTGAGTCGTCTTCGCAAGGTGTCGGCCGATTAGTTGGTCGAGTAGAGTGATTAAGCAGTCGACTTAGCCATGTGTCGACATGTAACACTTTTCGAGATGTCAGCACGTAACACATTTCGAGTCGTCGACGCGTAACGCCTTTTGAGTCGTCCTCACAGGGTGTTGGTGTGTCGAGTCGACCGCATTGGGCCTTATGTTATCTTGAAGCGGTGACTCGATTACGCATAATTTGGGACACTTGTCCGCCATTGATTGGAGATTATCTTTCATCACTAAAATGGCTATAACAATTATCTAACAACACTTTGTGCAAGAAAATCTATTTATTGACACCCCACCCAGGCACCCACCCATCCATCCACACACCCTTCTCTATACTCTTAATAAAATGGGCTAAAGTCCTTGTCCCCAAAACAAAATACTATCTGATTCATTACAAATATCAGTTAGTATCAGGTAACCATCACCATAAATCAAAGACAACTCATTTACGTTCTCATAACTGAATTATTCATACACAATATTCTGAGACCACAGAAGACCACATAAAGCATGTGGTGGTTACAAATATGCAACCTTATCCGTGCAGTCGCTGACCTTGCAACTGAGCCAGCAAAATCAAGACGGAGCCACACATGATCCAATCTGGAATCTAGTTTAACAAAGTGATCGATGTCATGATTTGAAGGGTGAGAGCTGATGTACCGCATACCTACCTAAATCTTCTTCTCCGCACCTTCCACAGTGAGTCCGACCTCCTCCAACCATGAAGGTCTAGGAGCAGTGTTGCTAGACCAGCGATCACAAAGGCGATAAAAATAGTGTTACATATGATAGATTTCTTGTGCATGCAAAACAAATATGAGAATGTGACGGTGGACCTGTGAATATACAGTACGGAATAGGATAAAAATTGAGTGCATTAGTAAGAAGTTAGAGATTCCTCCTATCGAGGATAAAATGAGAGAGTGCCGGTTAATAAGTTGATTTGATCATGTGCAACGAAGCTTGCTCCATGGAAGTGATAAGATTATAGCTTGGATAAGGAAGACTACAGATAGGTCTAGAAGAACTTAGTTGGAAGCAGTTAAGAAGGATACTTCAACAGCTAACGGAGGAGATAACCCTCAACAAAACTGAATGAAAGGATATTATGATTCCTGTAGTTGATCCCAAAAATTAACATAGGGGCTTTTATGTTGTTGTTGTTGTTGTTGCACTGTAGTATATCTCACAGTTAATTAATTAATGGATCTGTGTGAGCTACTGCAACTCGAGCTGCAGAAAAATCAATCTAGTCCTTGTAGCCCAGGGTCGTTACCAGTCAATTCTGGGGCAGGCTTCAATGCCTATTTTCAGCCATACAGCATTGAATTTAAGGACCGGCTTGTTTTAAAGTAGGAGCATAACATCAATGGGATAAAATCTAGCCTCAAAAATTCTCAGCGTAATTTCTAAGGTTTTAAGTTCTCCCCTATGTATCAGGGCTTCTTGCCTCCGTAACGATGCAAGGAAAGCTTAAATTTTCTAAAAAAAAAATCATAATAATTTTGCCCTCTTTCTTGTTTTGACAACAAACGGTGGGGAAAGAAAGCACGTGTATCAGGAAATCTAAGGTCTCAGATTACATCCAAACTGACACAATAAAAGATGGATGGAAAAATAAATCAAAACCCTTAAACTGGGAATTACACTCCTTGTACTTGTTGCTCCCCCAATTATCCTGTACTTTTAATTGAAGCATGAAGTGCTGGTGAAGCCAAGTATTGCTGTCCACGACTTCTCAGTATTACAGGGGTTCATGAACCCCATTAATTGTAGCTGTCTTTTCCCTCAAATAAAAAGTCAAGGTCCAGAGATCCAATCAAAAGCCACAGTTCTTCAAGTTAAGTTCAAAGATGAGAAGTCTGGATAAAATTTACCAAGTCTTAAGACCGGTAACAGACTTTTCATGTGTCGTCGAAGGTTAGTCATGTGATGCTCCCTGTTTCACTTTGCTGTCAAAGGGGTACAGAATCTATCCACCACACAACTAGAAAGCAAAAACCCTGTCACATGGATTGCATTTACTGAGCTGATTCTGTTCATGAACCCCATAGAACACTTTTATCGCTATCTAGAAGCCTAGACTGCCTACTGATATCGAAAAGGTACCTATGATCCAATTAATTACTTTCGTCTTTCAGTAACTACTAACTGCATATTAACTTCGTAGGGTCGGGTTTCTGTGACCTGACAGCTTTGTCTTCACTTCCTTGCCATTCAAAAGTACCTGTGGGCTCAATTTCTGATTGAATCTTTCCCAGCACCATTGCAGCTATGCTAACAAAGTTTCTCATTCCTCTCCTTCTTATACAACTTGTATCTTCATCCAAGAATGATTTCATCTTCAAAGGATTTAATGCAACAAACTTGAGCCTCAATGGAGTAGCAGAGATAACCTCTGATGGCCTCGTGCAGCTAACCAATAACACCGCGAATGCCGTAGGCCGCGCCTTTTATCCCTTTCTACTTCCTTTCAAGAACTCAAAAGCTAAGTCTGCCTCATTCTCAACAACTTTTGTATTTGCAATAGTTCCAGAATACAAAGACATCAGTGGCCATGGGATGGTCTTTGCCATTTCTCCTGCCAAGCAGCCTTTAGGTTCAATCTCAGGCCCTTTCTTTGGCCTTTTCAATGATTCAAGCAATGGAAAGAAAACCAATCATATTGTAGCCATTGAGTTCGATACCTCTAGGGCTGTGGGCCTTGGAGATATCGATGCTAACCATGTCGGTATTGATATTAATGGAGTCCGCTCACTTAATGCATCTTCGCGAATGCCGTAGGCCGCGCCTTTTATCCCTTTCTACTTCCTTTCAAGAACTCAAAAGCTAAGTCTGCCTCATTCTCAACAACTTTTGTATTTGCAATAGTTCCACAATACAAAGACATCAGTGGCCATGGGATGGTTTTTGCCATTTCTCCTACCAAGCAGCCTTTAGGTTCAGCCTCGGGCCCTTTCTTTGGCCTTTTCAATGATTCAAACAGTGGAAAGGAAACCAATCATATTGTAGCCATTGAGTTCGATACCTCTAGGGCTGTGGGCCTTGGAGATATCGATGCTAACCATGTCGGTATTGATATTAATGGAGTCCGCTCACTTAATGCATCTTCAGTGGCCTATTTTGACAAGGAGAATAAGCCTAAGAGATTAAATCTGATTAGTGGAAATCCAATGCAAGTTTGGGTAGATTATGGTGCAAAAGATATGAAGCTTGATGTTAGAATAACTCCAATTGGTTTATCTAAACCAAAAATACCTCTGGTGTCATCGAAGGTTGATCTCTCCTCCATTTACTTGGATGATATGTATGCGGGTTTCTCTGCATCAACAGGAGATGGCACCGCATTTCATTATGTACTTGGATGGAGCTTTAGTTTGGATGGGAATGCCCAAGATCTTGATATATCAAAGCTCCCATCAGTTCCTCGTCAAGATACAACACAAAAGGGGCCGAACATTTTAACAGTTGTGTTGCCTTTAGTTGCAGTAATCCTCTTGCTCGTCACCATTGCTGTCAGTATTGTTATAGTGAGGAGGAGGAAGAAATTTGCGGAACTTCTTGAAGACTGGGAACTCGAGTATGGACCTCACCGGTTTACATACAAGGATTTGTTCAAGGCAACCAAAGGTTTCAAGGAAGAACACCTTCTTGGTGTCGGAGGTTTTGGTAGAGTTTATAAAGGCATTCTTCCTTCATCCAAGCTAGAAATAGCCGTGAAGAAAATCTCTCATGAATCGCAACAAGGTATGAAGGAATTTGTTGCAGAGATAGTGAGCATGGGAAGGCTAAGACATCGTAACTTAGTTCAGCTCCTTGGCTATTGTCGGCGTAAAGGAGAGCTCCTCTTGGTTTATGAGTTCATGCCTAATGGAAGCCTCGATAAATTCCTATTTGGAGGAAAGAAGAAAATGCTTGGTTGGAGCCAGAGATTTCAGATAATCAAAGGAGTAGCGTCTGGCCTTCTTTATCTTCATGAAGGGTGGGAACAGGTGGTAATTCACAGAGACATCAAAGCTGCAAATGTGCTTCTGGATCATGACTTGAATGGAAAACTGGGGGATTTTGGCCTAGCGAAGCTCTATGATCACGGGAGTAATCCTCAAACAACTCATATTGTAGGGACATTGGGTTATCTTGCACCGGAGCTTAGTAAAACCGGTAAGGCTACTATTAAGACTGATGCCTTTGCATATGGGGCATTTCTACTTGAAGTGGCTTGTGGAAGGAGGCCAATGGTTATGCGTGGAACAATGCCAAATTTAGTTGATTGGGTTCTAGAACTTTGGAAGAAAGGAATGATCCTAGAAGCAAGTGATCCAGATTTAGAAAGTGATTATGTAGTGAAGGAGATGGAGTTGGTGCTGAAATTGGGATTATTTTGTTCCCATCCTGACCCCGAGGCAAGGCCAACTATGAGACAAGTGATGCAGTTTTTAGAAGGTGATGCTCCCCTGCCAGTTATGCCTCTGGATTATCTAGCTGCTTCATCCTCAGCGTATGATGAATCTTTTGATGATTTCATCATGTCATATCCTTCAATATCGAGCCATACAGTATCAGGAAGCTCGTCATCACAAGTGTTTCGACAATAATGTAACTAGTGTTTCCAGTCTATGTTCCTATCCTTTATCTACCCAAGAGTACGATAATGTTTGCGCTATGTGTAAGTATTGAGAAATTTTATCAGCAGAATGCCTAGGAAAGCAGGGAAACAGTTTATGAAAAGCTTATACCACTTAACGATAGATAAAGATGTGTTCTAATTAGAGAGATTGCACATAGTTGAGAACTCAAATGACTTTCTCAAGAACACAGGCTACACAGTGTTAGCATACACTGGGGGATGTTTCACTAGTATTAACGCAAACAAGCGGCATTTTCAATCAAAAGATGGCTGTAAACTTATAAATTTATTGTTTCAACTTAAATTTTACATTCAGAAATCTACGAACTGACAAGGCCCTAAACTGACTCCAAAGTACTGTGTTAAGACTTGCTTTTTACACTCACCTCCTGCAAATTTAATGCCCTTCACATGAAATAGCCATTTTCTTTATGCTTCAATCTTGAAATTTCAGGCAAACGAAGTGTCATCATGGCTATCTTCCTCCTCTTTGATGTCATCATCCTCCTCTGCATCTTGACCAGCTCGTTGGTGTGAACGTGAGCATCAATTACTCGTGGGGGCCACCCACGTGATGTTTTTGCGTGAATTGATGGAGCCGGACGTTTTTTATTTCATCTTCGCATGAGTACACGAAGCCAAGCCGGCCCACCCGAATAATCACAAGGATATATATATTCCTAGGTTTCTTTCGGGAACAGTGAGCGAAGGAGGGGTTTGATTTTTTTTCGGCTTTTGTGCGGCTGGAGAAAAAGCAGAGCAAGGCTGGGAAAAGCAATTGGAGCACAGAGCTTTTGTTTGTTGTTTTTTGAGAGAGATATTTGTGAGGGATTTGAGAGTTTGTGTGAGGGTTTTATTTGTGAGATTCTTTTGTAAACACTAATTGTATTCTCTCCCTCTATTAGTAGATCTCCCCCCTCCTTGCCCCGTGGACGTAGGCAATTTGCCGAACCACGTTAAAATTGGTTGTACTGCTTTTGTGTGATTTGTAATAGCTTTTAGGGTCCCTCGACAGGTCAGTCCTAGAACTGATGAGAGGAAGAGCCGATATCTCACTTGGTTGAGATATCCGCTTCAGATTCTTGTCTCCTTGGTGAGACGGGAATTCTTATTGCGATCTGACTCTCTTGTTGTGCTGCCGAAGTGCTGCCGAAATTTCCGCTGCGCACAACAAGTGGTATCAGAGCCCAGATTCCAGATCTAGGGTTTGGTTGGAGGAGTAGATTCTTGTGTGAAGCTTGGTTCTTGGAGTTCTAGGCTTCGGTGGAGATAGCATTGGGAGTTACCGTTGGAGATTTCGCTTTCCTCGTGTGGATAGGAGATCTATTTGGAATCCGATCTAGGGTTCAGTTGGGTGGTTCCTAATTCTATCAAATTTGTTCTTTCTCTACAATTTGGAGTTAGTTCGCAATGGGAGAAGAAGGTGAAAGCAGCAAATCGATGGCGAGTACAATACAAGTTGGTTTTCAGAACACTAAAATTAGTGTGGTGAAATATGACGGCAAAATCAACTTTGGTTTGTGGATGAGCGACGTACAGGATGCGCTCAATGCTCAGAATTTGGAAGAGACCATCATGGTCCATGAGAGGCCACCTAAATATGAAGAGACAGTATGGGAGAAGATGAATAGGAACTCTTGTGGGGTGATCATGTCCTGTTTGGAACAGGAGCTGAAATATGATGTGATTGGGGTGACGTCTGCAATGAAGATGTGGGAAATTCTCAACAACAAGTATCTCACAAAGAGTGTTGAGAACAGGTTGCACTTGCTGCGAAGACTCTTCAGATTTCAGATGTCCAGAGGCACCTCGCTAGCAGCTCATGTGAACAACTATACGAAGTTGTTGTCGGACTTGGCGAATGTTGATGAGAAGATATCGGATGAGTACAAGGCGATTATTTTGTTGGGCTCCTTACCGGATGAGGAGTATGATACCTTCGTGCTCACTTTGTTGAACGGGAGATCTTCTATCAGCTATAGTGAAGTGACTAACGCTTTGACGAACTACGATTTGAGGAGGAAGGATAAGGAGACTTCCCGCGCTAGTACTTCAGGAGAGGCCTTGTCGACGAGAGGTAGAAGCCCATATCCGAAAGGTGGTAATAGAGGAAGGTCAAAGTCTAGAGGCCGCCACCAATTAACAAAGAACCAATGTACATTCTGCAAGGAGCAGGGACATTGGAAGAGAGACTGCCCGAAGCTCAAGGAGAAGGAGAATGGCAAGAAAAAGGGCCCGAAGGCCAATGAGGTGAACATTGCGAAAGGCGATGATTCCGATGATTCGTGCTTTTCTCTACTGATTACTCCGGAGGTGAACCATGTGGATGCATCAGATTGGATGCTTGATTCCGGCGCTACCTTTCATGTGACCCCTAGGCGAGACTGGTTTGCATCTTTTGAGAAAGTCGACGGGGGCGTTGTTGTCATGGGAAATGATCAATCCTGTGGCGTTTGTGGGATAGGTACCGTACGGATTAGGATGCACGATGGAGTAGTCCGTGAGTTGAAGGAGGTGAGATTTGTTCCTCAACTGAAGAAAAATCTTATCTCAGTTGGAGCTTTGGAGGCGAAGGGATTCAAGGTGACTTTCGAAAACGCTGTAGCGAAGGTTACTAAGGGATCATTGGTGGTGATGAGGGGAGTCCGCAATCGGAATTTGTATTATCTGAAGGGAAGCACCGAGATTGGCCAGGTTGCTTCGGCTATTTCAGAAGCGGACATGAGCAGACTTTGGCACTATAGATTGGGGCACACAGGTGAAAAGTCACTGCAGACATTGTGCAAGCAGGGGCTATTGAAGGGAGCCAAGAGTGGGAAGATTGAGTTCTGTGAGCACTGTGTTCTTGGCAAGAAGACGAAGGTGAAGTTCGGGACTGCCATTCATCAGACGAGGGGCATCCTGGATTACGTGCACACAGACGTTTGGGGTCCCACCAAGACTGCATCACTTGGTGGTCGACATTGGTTCGTCACTTTTGTAGATGACTATTCTAGGCGTTGTTGGGTGTACACCATGACGAAGAAGAGTGAAGTCCTAGATTTGTTTGTGGAGTGGAAGAAGAGATTGGAACTGCAGACTGGGAGAAAGATCAAGACGTTGCGATCCGACAACGGTGGTGAGTATACTTCTGACCCCTTTCAGCAGCTATGTCGAGACGAGGGCATAGAGAGACACTTCACAGTTAGTCATACACCGCAGCAAAATGGGGTGGCAGAGAGGTTGAATCGGTCTTTACTGGAGAAGATCCGATGCTTATTGTCGCAGAGTGGTTTGGAGAAGATCTTTTGGGCTGAGGCACTTACATATGCGAGCCACCTCATTAATAGGCTGCCTTCATCTGCGATACCTCCTCTCTAGATCGCCGTCATATCCGTCTCCTTTGGACGACGTTGATGGATCTGCGCAGACACCGCCGTCTCCTTCCCCGGTCTCTCGTTCCACCTTCCGATCCGCCGCTCTCTTCCCCCGAGCTTTCTCCCGCCAGATCCGCCGCCGACTTCTGGACCTCGTGCGCCGGCGACGGAGCTAGTGAAGGCGAAGGGAAAGGCGACGAAGGCGGTGATAGAGAGGAACAGTCGCCAGTCGGAGAGTGTTTGGGCGGCGGTCTACAAGAAGAGGCAGGAGTCTAGGGTTAGCAGCAGTCTACAAGAAGAGGAACAGTGGCGGCGGCTCTGATACCATGTTGTGTTTGGGTGAAAATTAGGGTTACTTACTCTCATAGAGAGGTACCCTTTTTATAGAAATGCATTCTTACAGATAGGTCCTTACAATATTGACTAATTACTATCTAAATAACTCAACACAGCCAAATAAAATAAATCACCTGTCTTTTTTGGAGAAAAACTAAGGGTAATTGTATATCTTTAAATATAAAAGAAAAGTATGTAGGAAAATATGGAAAGGGGAAAGAGCATAAACTATTATGTGGCTTAGCTTTACGCACAACAACACAAATAGGTACAACTTTAGTGCAGGGAAAGTTAAATACGGAAAACAATGAAAATGAACTGCTTATTATCAAGTTGTGTCGACAATATTCGTTAACAGTTTTAATATGAGAGATGCAACATGAAATATTATGATGCAATACTTTATAGTGCCATGTACTGTTATGCATATTATAAACTGGCCGACGCGGTTTTCCTCCAAAAAAGTTGGTTGACATGGTTATAACTGGGTTTAGGTTTGACATGTGAGTCAATCTAGCTAAGCCAGACTATAAATGATGTATGGTTTCAGCTGTAGCCAATTCCTTATCATAGGACATGATAATTATGTCAAATGCTCACTAGGGCTGTAATTCTTAATCAATAGCGCTGTAATTCTTACTCAAAGATCAACCGAGCTAGAATTTCATGGGTAGTGATCTTTAAAATTGTGTACGCTTGGGGCCAAAGCAGAGATGCTCGGCGAACTGTGGAGAGAATGTAAATGAGGCTTCCAATTCTGGAAGAAAGGTAGAACTCTAAAACTCATACGAGAGGGTTTTACTTATGTATACGTAAACAAAAATCAGGCTTTAATCTATTTCTTGACCTGAGTCTTATTTATTTGTGTACTTTACTCACTTGGTAGGATGCCAAGGGCCTGTCAATGGCTGGGTTTATCAGCTGGTTTATATGGCGCTCAGCTTATCTGACTCGAGTAGTTAGCTGGAGGAACAGGTTTTATGTAGCTGTTAACTGGGCTACCACCATTGTGTTCGGCCGTGATAACTCCAGGATTGGGTAAATATATCAATGATGTCGCCAGATACTTGTTGAAGAAAGGATACAGTTGATGCTAATAATATACTTCCAATGAGTTGAATATCGTTTGGATAACATCAGCTCCATTTAAACGATTCACATGTTCCATTACAGTTATCTTTAGTTTCAATTTTGATATCAAATGTTGAGAGGCCATCTCTCCAGTTTTGACTCGATGTTGTTGTATTCAGTTGTATTTCTACAGAACGAAGGTTTCTTTCGTGAGAATTTTGATGTCTCTTGGTTGTATTTTGTACTAGCTCTTGAGTAGACTGTTTTTTTTTTTTTTTGTATCAGTCTGCAGAAGAATAGTCGGAGGTTATTTTCTATCTTCTCTACAATTGGTAAGCTGCTGTGAACGTGAGCATAATTGTGAACGTGAGCATCAATTACTCGTGGGGGCCACCCACGTGATGTTTCTGCGTGAATTGATGGAGCCGGACGTTTTTTATTTCATCTTCGCATGAGTACACGAAGCCAAGCCGGCCCACCCGAATAATCACAAGGATATATATATTCCTAGGTTTCTTTCGGGAACAGTGAGCGAAGGAGGGGTTTGATTTTTTTTTCGGCTTTTGTGCGGCTGGAGAAAAAGCAGAGCAAGGCTGGGAAAAGCAATTGGAGCACAGAGCTTTTGTTTGTTGTTTTTTGAGAGAGATATTTGTGAGGGATTTGAGAGTTTGTGTGAGGGTTTTATTTGTGAGATTCTTTTGTAAACCCTAATTGTATTCTCTCCCTCTATTAGTAGATCTCCCCCCTCCTTGCCCCGTGGACGTAGGCAATTTGCCGAACCACGTTAAAATTGGTTGTACTGCTTTTGTGTGATTTGTAATAGCTTTTAGGGTCCCTCGACGCGCAGTCCTAGAGCTGACGAGAGGAAGAGCTAATATCCTACTTTGATAGGATATAGGCTTCAGATTCTTGTTTCCTTGGAGAAA